CCTACGGAAGTAGTGATACTGCCTCGGAAACCCAAGGAGGGGTCGCTATGAGTCGGGGCCGACTCGACGGCACATAACAACAACAACAACAACAAGGATGGCACATAACAACAAGAAGTTGCTCAAGCAGGGAGATTGATGGGAAATGGTTTCTGAAGAGGCTGATGAGGAAGGCAGCTTCTGAAATTAAGAAGAACATGCTATGGGAAAATGCCTGAATTTGCCAAGAAGCTGCAAAGGGTGGCAAGCATTAGGGTGAGTTTGTTGCAGTGATACTTGATTTACTACAGAAGAGGCATTGAGCCCGGTTTGAAGCCCTGTGCCCTCACCTGCTGGTTATAGAACTCTAGAAATGAGATTCAGCTTTTCAAGTTCCAGTTTTCTCATCTGGATAATGGGGATAATCGTATCTACTTTGTAGTATAATTATGGATTAAATATTTTTTTATCTGTAAATCCCATAACACAAGATCTGATACAGAGTGCCCTGTTTTTATTCTTTAGGGCTGATTAGCACCAACTATAACCCCTTAAGAGACAGATCCATACATCAGAATAAAGATTCCTTAACATATTATAAGGAGTTCTAGTGGCCTAGTGCCTAAGGCATTTGATTGCTAACCAGAAGGCTGGCAGTTCAAACCTACCAGCCACTCCTTGGAAGGAAGATCTGGGCAATCTACTTCCATAGAGATACTGCCTCTGAAACCCAAAGGGGGTCACTATGAGTCCGAATCCACTCAATGGCAGTGAGCTTATGTGTGTGTGTTTGGTTTAACATATCATAGGAAATGGTTGGTGAACCCCTTGACTTACCGTTCTCTCCCAGAAGAAAAATCATGTTAGAATTTTTAATCAGAAGGTTCCTTGTGAAAGCAGTATAAAATCCAAAAGAATTTCTTTTGTAAGTCAAATGTCAACACGCTGAATTAGAAACTTTAATTCCCACATGAGCACAGGCCTGGCTAGAGCAACCCTACTCCTGGGTTATGTTTGAGGCTACCCTGCCAATTGTCTCACATTTTCCTTTATTTACAAACTGCTGGTTGAGATTTTCTTTTCTTTAAAAATGTTAATTAATTCTATTAGATTGTATAAGACTGAAGCCTTTTGCCTTTTTAAGGTTACTTTGCATATATCTGCTTGGATGCTTTGAAATGTTGCTATAGTTTAAGTCTCCCTAGATAACATTGTTTCCTGGTTCTTGTCCACATGCCTCCCACTATTTGCTCTGCGTTTATCTAGGCCTTCTGTAAACTGTAATGCATTAATGTTATTTTTTATCAAATTGGCTACATGCCTTTATTTCCTCCCACAACAAATGTCCTTGTTTTCTACAGAACAGTCATCCCTTGGTATCTGTGGGGATTGATTCAAGGACTTGCTTGAATACCAAGATCCGTGCATGCTCTAGTGTCTTACATAAAATGGTGTACTGTTTGCATATTATCTACGCATATCCTCCTATATACTTTAAATCATCTCTAGATTATTGGCAGGAGCTCTGATAGCGTAGTGCCTAAGGCATTTGACTGCCAACCAGAAGGCTGGCAGTTCAAACCCACCAGCCACTCCTTGGAAGGAAGACTGGGCAATCTACTTCTGTAGTGATACTGCCTAAGAAACTAAAGGAGGGGTCACTATGAATCGGATCCCAGTCTATGGCAGTGAGTGAGATTATTTGTAATACCTAATACAATGCAACGGAAGGAAGGTTGGACAATCTATTTCCGTTGTGATACTGCCTTGGAAACCCAAGGAGGACGGGTTGCTATGAGTCAGGCCGACTGGATGGCACATAACAACAACAACAACAATACAATGCAAATGATATGTAAATAGCACTTTACCCCTCCTTTTAGTGTTTGAGGAATTGCTTTTTTATTTTTATTTTTTTGGTTGAATATGGGGATTTGGGATCCACAGATGAGGTATCCCATCTATTATATGAGGGATCCATGCCTATTATAAAGTCTAAATTCCTGTCTTTTATATTGAAATGTCTTTTTAACCTATGGCTCAGACCTAATAATCCAATCTTATCCCCACTCTTTCTAACAAAATACCTGTGTTGTTGTTGCTCGTTGCTATCAAGTTGATTTTGACTCATGGAGACCCCAGGTGTGTCAGAATAGAATACTATTCCATAGGGTTTTCAAGGCTGTGACTTTTCAGAAATAAGTTGTCTGGCCTGTCTTCCCAAGTGCTTTCGGGTTGGTTCAAACTACCAACATTTCAGCTAATAGTCATTACTTAACCATTTGGACTCTACAGGTGAAATAGAAAGGAAACCAAGCAGCACTCAGGAAGAGAGACGCAGGCAGATTTATTCACACTAGCAGACCAGCCCATGCTAGTGCACTAAAACAGCTGGCCCTGAGGATAGGGTCTTCGGGGTTTTTACAGGGTCTGTAGGTTTGTGTGCAAAACTAGGTGCGGTTGTGGTGGCAGTCTAGACAGGAAAGGGTTTTGAGCCAGGGGCAGCTTGAGCTGGGTGCTGGGTGCTGGGTGTTAGGTGCAAAAGAGGAACTCCCAAGTGGGGAAGGGGAAAATGATGGAGGAGGGTAGTTGAAGTGAGCATTAAGGGGAGCTTGGGGGTGCTTTTCTTCTTCACAGGGACTCCTACAAGAAAACTAGGCTTCTCAAGATCACTGAACACAGCATGACTCCTTGTTACTGAAACTTCTTCCACCTGTATTACCCCCGCCACACTTTCCTTTAACATGGTTAGCCACTTAACCTGCCTTTCTTCCTACTTTTAGCCACTTATTTGTTTTTTTGCCAATCATTTTTAGCGCATAATCACTTATTGTTTATACTATTACCTTATTATCTCTTTACCTACCCTTTTTCCAAAGAAAAAATTAAGTCTTCTTTTGGTTACTGTTCCTTTTGGCACACAAAAGAGTGTAAAATAACACACACTTATTAGGCAATCAATGAGATCCCTGTGTGGCATAAGCCACCAGCATTGAAAATTGCTAATTTAAAGGTTGTCAATTCCAACATACCTAGTGGCACCATGAGAGAAAGTCCTAGCAATCTGCTTCCATAAAGATTATAGACAAGAAAACTCAACTGAGCTCTGTTCTACCCTGTAACACATCAGGTCACTGAGAAATGGATTCCTCTAGTCAGCAATGGCTTTAGGTGCTCAATAAATATATTTACCAGTGAATTAATTTGAATGGTCTAGTTTTTAGAAAATTCTTCTCTTGCCATTATGAAAAATATATTTTAGCGTAATTAAAATTATTTCCCTAAAGTAAAAACAAATTATATGATAAACAATTTGAGATTTAATTTTTGTTTTGTTTTTTAATCTTTAGAAACTGGGTTTCTACAAAGGAAATATTTGCTCTTCTATTTTCTAGAGTCACTTTTAGAAAACTGAAAATAAAACACATTTTAGAGATAAGAAAATTGCTTTTCTGCTCTGACTCATTTTGGCATAAAGAGCTATGAGGAGACGCAAATTTAAGTGCATTTTGAGTGGAGGCTACTGCAGAGTTGGCTGTTCAGTTAGGACTCTCAGATCTCTAGGTCAGGCCATGAGATTGTATTTAACTGGGATAAAGAGGGGCCTGGGAATTAGCATTTTAAATGCCTCCCGAGTGATTACAGTAGTAAACACGGCTGATAATCATTCCTTGGAAAAAGAAAAAATGAATCGAAACTTCCACCTTCTCTTAGAAGGGTTTGTTTAGCACACACATGGTTTAAGCAAGACCTGTTATTGAGGCCACAGCAGAAGCAAGCTGTTTCACCATTGGGCTGCAGTGTTTCTTATTCTTCCTTGCTGTTTCAGGAGAAACTTCTGCCCCTTATCTGCCAAAGCTTTTGAGCTCCAACACACTTCTGAAAACAAACAAACATATTACAGTCACTCATTTAATACAAGGTGATAAATATGATTGGTACCCAGGTTTTGCAAATGATTTGTACTCAACTAAGGCATTTGACAGGAGCTCTGGTAGTATAGTGCCTAAGGCACTTGACTGCTAACCAGAAGGCTGGCAGTTCAAACCCACCAGCCACTCCTTGGAAGGAAGGTTGGGCAATCCACTTCCGTAGTGATACCGCCTCGGAAACCCAAGGAGGGATTGCTGTGAGTCAGACCCGACTTTGCGATAGTGGGCTGGGCAACTAAACTAAAGGTTGGTGATTCGAACTCACCCAATGACAGAATGGAAGGAAGACCTGGAAATCTGTCTCCATAAAGATTACAGCCAAGAAAACCCTTTTTATTCTCTGTAATAGATGGAGTCACCATGAATCAGAATCAACTCAAGGATAAAGCGTTGGTTTGTTTTGGTTCAACTTGGAGATGACGGATGAGGACTCAGACCTTATGACAAGAAATCCATTCTGAGCCCATCATTGCAGCCACTGTGTCAATCCATCTCATTGAGGGTCTTCCTTTTTTTTGGCTGACCCTCTACCAAGTATGATTTCCTTCTCCAGGGAATATCCCTTCTGACAATATGACCAAAGTAGGTGAGATAAAGTCTGGCCATTCTCACTTCTAAGGAGGATTCTGGCTGCACTTCTTCCAGGACAGATATGTTAGCTCTTTTAGCAGTCCATGATACTTTTCAGTATCCTTGCCAACAGAAATTACTCAACATTATAAGCTCTTCTTTGGTTTTCTTTATTCATTGTCCAGCTTTTACAGGCTTATGACAAAAACCCCAAACCAAACTTACTGCCATTCAATCTATCCTGACTAATAGTGACCTCTCCTTGGGTTTCTGAGGTGGTATCTCTACAGACATAGATTGCGTAATCTTCCTTCCAGGAGTGGCTGGTGGGTTTTGTGTAAGGGAATAAGTTAGAAACATAATAGTCTTAGTTTGTTACTTAAGTTAGAAACATAGTAGTCTTAGTTTGTTACTTAAATATCCAGCTTATTACTTAGAGTATATAACAAGCTTAATAGAAAAATCTTAAGTATTGAAATTTGTTTTATTGACCACTTAGAAACTGCGGAAATGCATATGTAAGTTAAACAGCAATCATATTTACTCAAATGACTTAATAACTAGCTTAAGTTTCTAGCTTAACTGGTTTAGTGCTATTAATTTAGGTAAGGCTCAAGGTATAACTAGGCCTAAGTGTCACTTCCTCTAGCTTAAGTTTAAGTTTACCAGAATATACTCAGTTATAAGAAATCATGAGTTCTTAAGCACCAATCAGAGAGGACAGATTCTGGAATGTCCCAAGGGAGGACCCCTTCCCCAACAGAATCTGGAAAGTCCCGAGCTTGCACCAATGAGTCGCCGCCAAACAGCATAGCTTGTCCCCTGCACCAATCATTGATGTTCAGCCCTACCTTGTGGAACTGCCCCTTAAAAAATCTTATAAAGGTGTAAAACAGGAAGAGCCGGGTGTCTTTTTGCCCAAGCTGTTGCACTGGTGTAAGCAAAGACCCCAGCTCGAGCTTGGAAATAAACTTTTCCTTTGCTTTTGCATTGTTGTGTCAGTGTCACATTCCTCGCGCCGACACTCCTTTTCCAAATTCGGGTCCAACATTTGGTGCATTGGCCGGGAAAGGAAAGTTCGGAGCGAGACCCGTGACGCACGGCATAGGGAGAGTCTAGGAATTGGAGCCGGCAGGACCAAATTACATCCTTTGCTTAAGGATATTGGTCCATTGGAATAGATCGGAACCCGGCGGATGCGCCAGGGAGCTGGGGAAGGAGCCCCTTCCCCCAGCTGTTGGGCAAGCTGTGGGTGCCGTTTGGTAAGAGCGGTTCCCCTTCAAGGGGCACTAGATGCGTCAGTGACTGGTTTTCGGCCGATGTTTGTTTGTCCTTTGTGTATAGAATATTTGTTTCATCAATAATAGTGTCTGTAATTGTGTGGCCACTTGTCTTTTACTTGTTCTGTGTTTTTTTGGAGGTTGTAGAAATGGGGCAAGGCCAGACTACTCCTCTGTCTCTAATGGTTGAACATTTCTCAGAGTTCAAAAGTAGAGGATCAAATTTATCTGTGATAGTGAAAAAGAATAAACCAATAACTGTTTTGCTCCTCAGAATGGCCCACTTTTAATGTAGGGTGGCCACGAGAAGGCACATTGGACAAGAACATTGTGGCAGCTGTGCTCGACAGAGTCCAGATTCCAGGTCCTCATGGACACCTGGACCAATTCCCATATATTTTAGTGTGGCAAGATATGGTAGATAACCCTCCCCCATGGCTAAAACCTTTTCTCCCAAATCTTTCTGTCAAGGTACTGGCATCCGCACTCGGAGCAAAGAAGAAAGAGAAACAGAAACCAGAGCAGCCAGCATCCTGTGCAGTTCTTCCACCTGTTTTATCTGATTCCCAACCTCACCCTGATCTCATTGACTTAGGGGTGGAAATCCCCCCACCTTCTTATGCCCCGACCCCCCCTTCTCACCCTCTCCAGGTTTCTCAAGTTTCAGGAGGAAGTGGGGCGAGTGGTCCGAGTGCACCTGCCATTACCGGTCCAGCCTCCGGCCTCCACCCATGTCAGAGAGGCACCCTGGAGACTGAGGCCCCCACATCTACTGCCCAAGCCCTACCCCTCAGAGCCACAGGCCCTCCTCAAGAGGATGGAAGCAGAACATGGCAGTACTGGCCATTTTCAACCTCAGACTTATATAATTGGAAAGCGCAAAACGCTCCTTTTTCTGAAAATCCCCAAGGGTTAATTAACTTGTTAGATTCAATCTTATTTACCCATAATCCCACCTGGGATGATTGTCAACAGTTATTACAGGCCCTGTTCACCACCGAGGAGAGGGAGAGGATACTGAATGAAGCCAGAAAAAATGTACTGGGAGATAATGGACAACCTACCACACTTCAGAACCTCATTGATGCTGGGTTTCCTCTCACTCGTCCTGAATGGGATTTTGAGCAATCAAAAGGTAGGGAACATCTCCGAAACTACCGCCAGATTCTGATGGCTGGTCTCCGAGTGGCAGCAAGAAAGCCGACCAATTTGGCCAAGGTAAACTCAGTTAGACAGGAACCCACAGAAAGCCCTGCAGCATATTTAGAAAGGCTTATGGAAGCTTTTAGACTGTACACACCTATAGATCCACAGGCAGATGAGAGTAGGGCAGCAGTAGTTTTATCTTTTGTAAATCAAGCAGCCCCTGACATTAGGAGGAAACTTCAGAAGATAGAGAGACTAGGAGAACAGACATTACAAGACTTAATGAAAGTGGCTGAAAGAGTATATAATACTAGAGAAACTCCAGAGGAAAAGGAAAAAAGAATAAGGAAAGAGGAGCGAGATTTTCAAGCTAAAGAGAGTAGGCATAATAAAAAAAAAAAACTAGCTAAAATCTTCTTTACCAGAGTTAGAAGGAAAGTAGGAAGACGTAGGGAGAGAGGACAAGAGCAGCATGACAGGCCCCACCAAGGCCCTCCCCTAGCCCCGGACCAGTGTGCCTTCTGCAGAGAAACCGGACATTGGAAAAGTGAATGTCCCAAAAATCCGAGAAGAGGGGAAACTCAGAAATATCATAAACCTGCCCCCACAAGAGCATTAATAAATGCAGGAGACAGCAATTAGGGGGGTCGGGGCTCAGAACCTCTCCCTGAGTCTTGGATAACGTTAAAAGTGGAGGGGAAACCAATATAGTTTCTGGTGAACACCGGAGCCCAATTTTCTGTCCTTAATAAGAAAGAGGGAGAAGTCTCTCCAAAGACTAGCTTAGTTTAGGGGGCAACAGGAGCTAAGCGGTACCATTGGACGACAAAACGGCAAGTAAACCTGGGCACCAAACAGGTGTCCCATTCATTTTTAATTGTACCTGATTGCCCTGCACTGCTATTAGGGAGAGACTTATTATCAAAAGCTCAAGCCCATATCTACTTTCATAAGGACGGTATTCAAGTTACAGAGGGGGAAGGCTTCCCGCTGCAGGTTCTAACAGTTTCCTTGCACGATGAATACCGCTTGTACAAAGAAGCAGAGAGCCAGCATGCAGATCCAACAGATATGACTCCATGGCTACAAAAATTTCCCCAAGCCTGGGCAGAAACCGGAGGTATTGGACTGGCGAAACACCAACCACCCATCATTGTGGACTTGAAATCTTCTGTCACTCCAGTAAGAGTCCGGCAATACCCTATGTCCAGGGAAGCTCGAAATGGTATACAACCACATATCCAGAGACTGCTGCAAGCAGGAGTACTGAAGAAATGCCGCTCTGCATGGAACACTCCTCTCTTACCGGTAAGAAAACCGGGAGGAGAGTACCGACTGGTACAGGACTTAAGAGAAGTAAATTGCCATGTTGAGGACTTACACTCAACAGTCCCCAACCCATATACACTCCTCAGCAGTTTGCCCCCAGACCATGTGTGGTATACCACCCTGGACTTAAAAGATGCTTTTTTCAGCTTACCTTTAGCCCCACAGAGTCAAGATATCTTCGCCTTCGAGTGGTTTGATGAGACCAACCAGGCCCTTGGCCAGCTGACTTGGACACGGCTCATCCAGGGGTTTAAACACTCGCCTACCTTCTTCAACGAAGCCTTGAGTGACAACCTGTGTGAGTACCGGGGTCAAAACCCCAACGTGACTTTATTACAATATGTAGATGATTTGTTAATAGCTGCCCCTGATTGAACAGGGTGCCTTAAAGCCACAGAAAGATTACTCATCACTCTAGGGTCGCTGGGGTATCGAGCCAGTGCAAAAAAGGCTCAAATAGCAAGGCAGGAAGTCACATATTTAGGGTATAAATTGAGAACTGGGCAGAGATGGCTCACTGACGCCATGAAGCAGACTATCCTACAAATTCCCAGACCAACAAATCTACAGCAGATAAGAGAATTTCTAGGAACTGTTAGTTACTGCCGTTTATGGATTCCGGACTTCGCTACGAAAGCGAAACCAGTTTATGAACTTAATAGAGAAGGATCCAAGTGGGATTGGACCCCAGAGAGAGATTCAGCTTTTAAAGAACTCAGAGAAGCACTCTTAAAGGCCCCAGCTCTAACATTACCTGATCCAGCCAAACCGTTTCACCTGTTCATTGATGAAAGGAAGGGAATAGCTAAAGAAGTTCTAGTACAGCAACAGGGGCCATGGAAAAGACCAGTAGCATACCTCTCCAAGAAACTGGACTCAGTAGTGGCTGGATGGACCCCTTGTTTAAGAATAATTGCTGCCACAGCACAGCTAGTTAGAGACTCAGATAAATTAACCCATGGGCAAAAGCTGAAAGTAACCACTCCACATGCTATAGATGGGGTCCTCAAACAACCCCCAGGGAAGTGGTTCACTAACACCAGATTAACTCACTACCAAAGCCTACTGCTAGACACTCCGAGAATACAGTTCCTTGCCCCAGCAATACTGAACTCCGCCACTCTTCTACCCAACCCCGACCTAGATGGGCCTATCCACAATTGCTCAGAAATCTTAGCAGAAGTCATCACTGTTAGAAGAGATTTACAGGATTACCCGATGACTAATGCAGACTTTGTCTGGTTCACAGACGGGAGTAGCTTTGTACAAGAAGGGACTCAATATGCGGGGGCTGCAGTAGTAGATGCCGAAGGAAAAATAATATGGGCTGATGCTCTACCTCCGGGAACTTCCACCCAAAGGGCCGAGTTAATCACCCTCGCTGAAGTGTTGGAGAGAGCAGAGGGAAAGAAATTAACGGTATACACCGACAGCAGGTATGCCTTTGCCACCCTTCATATCCATGGGACAAATCTACCGGGAGCGGGGATTCAAAACTTCAGAGGGAAAGGAGATAAAAAACCAAACTGAAATCCTCCACTTACTCTCTGCTGTAACAAAGCCCTGAAAAATAGCTGTAGTACATACTCCAGGACATCAAAGAGGATATACTATTGAAGCTGAGGTAATCGAATAGCTGATCTATTGGCAAAAAAGGCCGCTGCAGGGAACTTGAGAACTGTTGTCCACAACTTTGCACTCGAACTACCTTGTCCCCAGTTGGAGCCTCTTCCTTCCACCCCAGATTATTCTGAGCAGGATATACAATGGGTTGAAAAGTCTTTACAGGTGATGAAAAACCAGGATAGATGGTACATAGACCCGGAAAAGAAACTGATTCTCCCAGAAGAACTAGGAAAGCATCTCCTCACACATCTTCATCGAGTGACTCATCTTGGAGAGCGAAAAATGTTGGAGTTACTAAATAAAGGACAAGTTCGCATACATCACCAAAGACAGATGGCTCAGGAGGTAGTGGACCGATGTCAGACCTGTCAACTTATGAGAGCAGGAAAAAAGAAGAATGTCCACGCAGGTACGAGGATACGGGGGAGGGAACCGGGCCAGCATTGGGAAATAGACTTCACAGAAGTTAAACCAGGTAAATATGGATATAAATATCTTTTAGTGTTAGTAGATACTTTTTCAGGGTGGGTAGAAGCTTACCCCACTAGGAGAGAAACAACAGCAGTAGTAGCCAAGAAAATTTTAGAGAAAATAGTGCCTAGATATGGAATGCCTAAGACACTTGGGTCAGATAATGGGCCAGCTTTTGTAAGCAAAGTTATCCAGGGATTAGCCTCGGCTCTAGGGTTAAATTGGAAATTACATTGTGAGTATAACCCTCAGAGTTTGGGACAGGTAGAAAGGATGAATAGAACATTAAAGGAGACTCTGTCCAAATTGGCAATAGAAACTGGTGGAGACTGGGTGACACTCCTTCCTTTTGTGCTCTACTGAGCTAGAAACACCCCCTACACATTAAATCTAACCCCATTTGAAATAATGTATGGATCAACACCCCCAATCATATCCAACCTAAAAAATTGTCCTGAAGACCTCCCAGCAGACCTGATTCTAGGAATGAAATCACTATATCACATTCAAAGAGAGCTATGGCCCAAACTCCAGGCTATTTATGAAAGCCCTCTTAATGATTAAGAAGTTAACCATGAAATCGAACCAGGAGACTCAGTGTGGGTAAAGAGACACCAGAAACATACTCTTGAACCCAGATGGAAGGGACCTTATACTGTTGTTCTTGTGACCCCCACTGCCCTTAAGGTTGATGGAATCAGTGCTTGGATATATCACTCCCATGTCAGAAAAACCAATCAACAGGAGCAACTCTCTGCAGGAGTGAACTGGAAAGCATCTACAGATCCTGAGAATCCACTGAAAATTAAATTAACTCCATGCGATGGGAACCTACACCCTCATCCTCATGTTAAATGCCTGCCACCTAGTGGCCAGTGCAAGTAACCACCAACCCTTCAAAGTCACGTGGTCCGCCCGCAATGGAGAAACCCATGAAACTATAAACTCAACCACCTCAACTACCCCTTTAAATGTATGGTAGCCTGATTTGTATTTTCTACTCACATACCCTTCCTCGAACCCAGGATTAATACAAGCCGCTAACAGTCCCGGTCGGGTCCGCAGGAACGGATTTTTTGCTTGCCCAGGATATAAGCGGAACTACCGGCAATGTGGAGGGATGACATGGTATTATTGTAAGAGTTGGAGCTGTGTAACCTCCAATGATGGGCACTGGAAATGGCAAGTAACCAATAACGATTATGTAACCTTCTCTTTTGATCATTCTGTGAACCCCACTTGTGATAGGTGTGACTTATTAAAAATCAGTTTCACTGAGCAGGGAAAAAAGGAGTTAATCAAGTGGACATCAGGGTTAAACTGGGGCATCCAAATTTACCAAGCAGGTTACCCTTCTGGAATAGTAACCATCAAGCAGGACATAGTCTCAGCAGATCAGCCAGCCATAGGACCAAATCAAGTACTAAATCCCCTAAACAAGAAAAACTTAATCCAGAAAGAAATAACAACACAGGCACCCCCAGATATAATATCAAGCACCCCAGGGATGAAAGGAAAAAAGGGAAAAAAGAAAAAATAAAAAGAAAAAGGATCCCCTTTGGAATATATTACTAGCAGCTTTTCGAGCAGTAACCAAACTAACCCCAACCTCACTCAAGCTTGCTGGCTGTGTTATGATGTAAACCCCCCGTTTTATGAAGCAATAGGCAGTAATACCTCTTTCAGTTATTCTAATAATGGGAACCCAAGCAATTGTTCCTGGAGGGATCGTAGAATAGGACTCACCATACAACGAATAACCAGTAAAGGCATATGTATAGGAACATCCTCTCAAAATCAGAAACGTTGCGCCTCTCAAATAAGAGTAAGCTCATCTTTTACTTGGGTTATCCCCAACAAAGGGAATTGGTGGCTGTGCTCAAAAACTGGACTCGTACCCTGCTTAACCTTAGAAGTACTCAATCAGTCTTCAGAATATTGTGTACTAGTAACTGTGTTGCCCCGAATTCTATACCACCAAGAAGAGGAAATGTATATACACTGGAGTGGAACTAATAGAGTAAAGAGAGAACCACTAACTGCAGCTTTTACCCTAGCCACTTTATTTGGCCTAGCGGGAACAGGGATAGGAATAACTTCTTTAACTATGCAAAGTCATAGCATGAATTCCTTGAGAGTAGCCATAGATGAAGACCTTGAAAGAATAGAAAATTCCATCTCCCATCTAGAGAAATCCCTAACTTTTTTATCGGAAGTAGTGTTACAAAATCGGCGTGGATTAGATCTTTTATTTCTCCAGCAGGGAGGGCTATGTGCTGCTTTAGGAGAGGAATGTTGCTTCTATGCTGACCATACAGGAGTAGTTCGAGACTCTATGGCCAAAGTAAGAGAAGGACTTGACTTAAGAAAAAAGGAGCGTGAAGCCCAAGAAGGAATGTTTGAGTCCTGGTTTAGGAATTCCCCATGGTTGACTAATTTCTACTCTCTTAGGTCCATTTATTATCCTTATACTTATACTTACATTCGGGCCCTGAATAATAAATAAACTCATATCATTTGTAAAAGATAGAGTTAATACTGTACAACTTATGATCCTCAAACAACAATATCAGTCTGTATCTCCTGTGAACTATGATGAAGATTCCTCATAGAAGTCACTAGAAAAAGGGAGGAATGTAAGGGAATAAGTTAGAAACATAATAGTCTTAGTTTGTTACTTAAGTTAGAAACATAGTAGTCTTAGTTTGTTACTTAAATATCCAGCTTATTACTTAGAGTATATAACAAGCTTAATAGAAAAATCTTAAGTATTGAAATTTGTTTTATTGACCACTTAGAAACTGCGGAAACACATATGTAAGTTAAACAGCAATCATATTTACTCAAATGACTTAATAACTAGCTTAAGTTTCTAGCTTAACTGGTTTAGTGCTATTAATTTAGGTAAGGCTCAAGGTATTACTAGGCCTAAGTGTCACTTCCTCTAGCTTAAGTTTAAGTTTACCGGAATATACTCAGTTATAAGAAATCATGAGTTCTTAAGCACCAATCAGAGAGGACAGATTCTGGAAAGTCCCAAGGGAGGACCCCTTCCCCAACAGAATCTGGAAAGTCCCGAGCTTGCACCTATCAGTCGCCGCCAAACAGCATAGCTTGTCCCCTGCACCAATCATTGATGTTCAGCCCTACCTTGTGGAACTGCCCCTTAAAAATCTTATAAAGGTGTAAAACAGGAAGAGCCGGGGGTCTTTTTGCCCAAGCCATTGCACTGGTGTAAGCAGAGACCCCAGCTCAAGCTTGGAAATAAACTTTTCCTTTGCTTTTGCATTGTCGTGTCAGTGTCACGTTCCTCGCACTGACACTCCTTTTCCAAATTCGGGTCCAACATTTGAACTACCAGCCTTCTGATTAGCAGTCTGCAGTGTAGTAAATTACTTAGTGTGGCTTTTCTACCCATAAATCTTTGTAAACTCTGAGGTGGAATTTGTCATGAGCAACTGAGGAGCTCCTGATGCTAAAGTTGCCCACCTGGGGTATTTCTGTTGGGCGTGGCACTAAACAATGTTCTGGGAGGTTCCTGCTCTCTCTCAGGTGTTTAGAATTCTGATGTGATGATTGGTTGGTTTGGTCACTCTGCCAGGCTCAAAAGGAGGCCTCCTAGAGGCAGAACTTTCTCTGACTGCTGGCTGAGGAAGGATACGCCCCTGAGAGACACACGCTGTGGAAAAGAGACATAAGAGTCATGCATTGCTGAGAGAGACACCGAGGGACACGCACTGCTGGGAGACAGACTGTGAGAGATGGTGGGCTGGGAGAGAGACTGAGCGTTTTTCCTGAACTTGAATTGTAGCCTGGTGCTTCCCTAATAATCCCCATAATCTGAGAGTTCTGTGTGGCCACTGCAGTGAATTATCGAACACAGCAGATAGGCTTTGGTGCTGCCGGAGGAACTTTGGTGTAAGGGCTGGAGGGAGGCAGCATGTCTGGCCCCACAGGTATGGGCCTTGCACTACTGATAGTGATTCTGCCTTCCTCTTGTGTGATTAGAGGATGTCAGAAGATGTGGCCTCCTTGTCTTTTTTGCACAAATGCATGCATATGAGGTGATTGAAAATACTGTGGCTTGAGTTAGGTGCACCTTAGTCTTCAAAGTGACATCTTTGCTCTTCAGCACTTTAAAGAGGTCTTTTGCAGCAGATTTTCCAGTGCAATACTACCTCTGATTTCTTGACTGCTGCTTGGGGTTCATTGTGGAAATGAAATGTTTATGAATGTATGAAATCTTTGACAACTCTTTCTTTTCTGAATTTATTGTGATGCTGCATATTGGTCCAGTTGAAACCTGCTCTTACCTATTTTAAATAACTATTAGAATTATGGGCAGGTACACAGAAAGGTTAGGAAACCACCCAAGTATTTACCAGGCTACAGTCAGATATAGTACTGGTTTATTAAGGGTTCTATAGGAATTGAAAGGAGCCCTGGCAGCACATTGGTTAAGCTCTTAGCTGCTAAGCTAAAGGTCAGCAGATGGAATCAACCACTAATTCTGCTGTGCAGGAGAAAGATGTGGCAGTCTACTTCCATAAAGATTACACTCTTGGAAACCCTATGGGACAGTTCTAGTCCGTGCTATAGAGTCACAATGATTATCTATGAATCAGAATCAACTTGACTGCATCCAGTAACAACAACATAGGCGTTGGATAAAGAGAATAAGATGTTATAGAATGAACATTAAAGGAGGGGTCCACCTTGAGTCACATAACATCTTATGGAACTCATTCATAAATTTGTTTTTAGATAAAATGACAAGCAGCATTCTGAATAGGACAGTTATATTACTTTCTCAATTATTTTGCTATTGCTCATCTAAAAGACTTCATATTTTGTTAGAATCACTTTTGGTTTATCTGAAGTTTTTTAAAAATAATATTTAATTTTTTTAAAAGATCAATATTGAACTTGAGCTGGTTTCATTTTGTTTCATACTAGATGTAAGATTTCATTGCTTCTCTTTTCTTCAGGAAACAGGCATCTGTGACAGAAGGGCACAGTAATGTAGTTTAGAGCCAGATGATAACAAATCAAATCAAACCTAAGCAGCTTACCTATTTTTTTTTTTTTCTGATGGGTGTTTTGAAAAAGTAGAAGGCTGAGGATATTTCAGGATGATAAGGAAATTGGAAAATTTTACCTGTAACTAAATTCTTTTTGTTTGTTTGTTTGTTAATGATCTTTAGATGAATTTGAGTGTTTTGTATATTAGTTACTGTTGTTGCTGTTATGTGCTGTCCAGTTGGACCTGACTCATAGCGACCCCTCCTTGCGTTTCTGAGGTGGTATCACTATGGAAGTAGATTGCCCAGCCTTAGATTTTTCAAATAGAAAAGAGGGAACCATCTACTTTCTTGTTAATAGACTCATAGTCATAGCAACCCCCATTGGGTTTCCAAGGCTGTAAATCATGGAAGTAGGTCACCCCATCTTCCTTCTGGGGAGTGGCTGGTGAATTTGGACCACTGACTTTGTTAGCAGCCAAATGCCTTATACACCATGCCACCAGAGCTCTTTACAGAATGTTAAGAGTTGGAAACAATCTTGGTAATCATCTAGTCTAGATAATCTTTTTAACTTTATAGATGAAGAAGAATTTTGAGTAATCTGATTCATGGCTTTATCAGTAAGCATAGACTAGATTGTTGTTGTTGTTATGTGCCATTGAGTTGACCCAACTCATAGCAACCCCTCCTTGGGTTTCCGAGGCAGTATCACTACAGAAGTAGATTGCCCAACCTTCCTTCTCAGGAGTGGCTGATAAGTTTGAACCACCAGCCTTCTGGTTAGCAGTCAAGTGCCTTAGGCACTATGCTACCAGAGCTCTCATAGACTATATTAGATGGCAGTAAAAAGCAAATTAGAACCTCAGTTTTATCTAAACAAAAAAAAATATCCCCTTCACAGTAGAGTTAATTCCAATTTATGATGTTACAAGAGTAGAACTATTCCATAAAATTTTCTTGGTTGTAACTTTACAGACATAGGTTACCAGACCTTTACTGAGTGATGCCATTAGGTGGGTTCTAACAGTAAACCTGTACTATAGTAGTCAAATGCAAATGGTTTGCACCACTCAGGAAACAAAGAGTTATTTCTCCCTCCTTCATTCTACATGCTCAAATGGGTTTGATGGGAGAGATGGAAGTTGCAGGGAATATCAGCTCTTTATATTTCCACAGGGGTTGTTGGGGCTAGGGGACAAAGACTGGTAGAGACTCTACTTCAACCCAACTTCCCATGAGCATCATGGCAGAGAAGAGAGCACTGTACTACTATCTAAATGATTTCTCTCAATAGTAACGTCACTTCCATTCCCATATCAGAACCCAATGCAAGTCACAAAACTATATTTGACAACTACAAAGGGAGCAGAGATGTACCATTTGACAACTACAGAGGAAGCAGGGATGTACCATTTGACAACTACAGAGGAAGCAGGGATGTACCATTTATTCTGTGGCCAGATGATAACTAGAATACTTGAGACTATTTTGCTACAAGCCCCAGTGCTTCTGGTCC